ATTAGTCAATATAAGAATTTTAATTTATATTGTTCATTTAAGAGTCTTGTAAAGATTTTTTATCTTAGAGTAATATTAAATTAAGGTTTAATGTTAAATCATTTTAATGCTTTAGCTAAAGATTAGATGATCTCTTTTTTTTGTTTTTAATTATCTTCATCTTGGAATACCCCTAGTATTTTTTTTGAATCATACCGGCTCTTCTTATTTAGACAACATCTTCAATATAATAATCCAACCAAGCTTTAAGTTGATGAATATCTAGATTTGAGCTCTTTAAATATTTTTTTGATTTTTTTTATCTGCAGACAAATATAATATCAATTTAGGAACTGAATCAATAGTTATATTTGGATGTTCGTTGTTGCAAGATCAATATGAGCAATCTTGTTTTTGTTCCTATTTTAAACAAGTGAGAATTAATTGAGATGTTAAAAATAATCATGAGACAACTCTTAGTTTTTTCTAATAATAGCACATTCTTTCCTCTATTAAGAACTTCTTATGAAAATTTTGATCCTACAATTTTATAAATATGCTGATTTTCAACATATTCTGGTGCAGGTTCTGATTTGTAGAATTCAGTCAGATTTTTATTTCTAAAATCATCAATGAATTATTGTTAACTTTATTGATTTAAGATTTCAGATTAACAAATATATTTTAATAGTTAATATTTTCTGAAATTGGTTTCTGTGAAGACAAGTTTTGGTGGATTGATCAAAATCAAATAATGACCATAAATTAATAATATGTTGAATAGGTTAAGGTTAAACGATTATATTTTAAATCGTTTTCTTTGTTATTTTGAGCAACCCCATAATAAGGATTAAATAGGTATTATTTCAATATACATTTAATCAATAAATGACCTTGTGTTTAGATTGGTCCTCCAAATATTCTTGCATAATTATCCTCTTCCAATCTGTTAACTAAATCTATCCACTCCAAATGAAGAAGTCTAAAATCTAATCAGTGTAGGCCAAATTTTATTTATATTGTTCAAATTTAAGGTTGTTGCTTTTAAGTTTTTATCATCCCTATTATATCCTTTTAATCCATCTATTTTGGCTTCACTTAATTAACCATTTCTAATTAATGTCTGAAGTTCTTCTATTACTTTATCTCTGAATATATAATTATTGGGCAAAGAGACTAATGAATTCAATTTATTGTTTTAACTCAAGTATCTATTTACATCATATTCTGTTTAGAGGAATCAATCTTTGGATTTATGATATCTGAGATTGAATTAAAAAATTTCCAAAGATCTAAGATTCAAGATTCTTAAAATTTCTAATCCAAAAGGTCTTGTCGAAATTTTTGTTAACATTTTCAATCATTAAGTTAAGCAATCCCAATTAAGATTCCTCTTCATTCCTAGAATTTATATTTCCTTTAAATATCTTAACATTAATTTGTTTCGCATTCTATTATTTATAAAATGAAAGCAGCAATTTGAATGAATTGAAATAATTATTGCATTTTTATTTCTTAATGTAAAATAAATTATTTATTATGATTGGAACTGAAATTTTTTTTACGATATTAACTTTTTATCTTATTTTATTATGAAACCTATAACCTATTTTTGTCAGACCCTAACAATTCGATTAATTAAAAATACCTGTCTTTTTAACAATTTGAGAAAGAGTGAGTTCCAAAGTAAAT